TAATTTGTCTCGACTTGCTAGCCTTACTGAAAATACACCCGATACGCTGAACGATGGCCTTGTGGGTGCCACTGCCGTTACAACCAATCAATCGGTGGTACCTGCTTCAAATTCCCAAAATCAACCGATTACTTTGGCTGATTTATTGTCTGGTGATCAGCGTGCTTTCAATAATTTGCAAGCGTTAGCTAAGCTGGGCTTAAATAATAACGGTAAGTAGTTTAACGTACAAAACATGTTGTGTTTGTCATTGTCGTTTAAGTTATAAAATGCAATGATTTATACGATAATAAGTTCAAAATGTTCAGTCCTTTGCGCATTAATTTTTAATTAATTTATTTTATTTGCTTTTTATATGTAATTCTCAATATTTTGTTTATAAATTTATTTTGCTATAATTCTTGCGAACTTCTTAATTATTTCGGTTTTAATATTTTTTTTTTTTTTTTCCGTTTTTATTCTATTTCTATTTTATTTTTTAATCTTGTCCGAAAAACGCAAAAACAACTCCGCTTCCAATCATTTGATCAATTAATCAACATCATCACCAATTAAACTACCACTACAACCAACCAACATGTTTCATCGACACAAACAATAAAACAATAACCCAATCAAACGGTTGGCATACTTTCCTCTTTGCTTTCACCATTAAATTTTAATAATTTTATATATATAACCTGAATCGTGGCTGCTCTGCATCGCTAATCACATAACACAAATCAATTAAAACATACATGCAAATTTTGTTGTACATGAAACTGGTTGTTTGTTGTTGTTGCTGTTGCTGTTGCTGTTGTGCGCTGCCGTTGTCAAAAAAAAAAAAAAAAAAAAAATGATCCTTTATCCTTCAATTGCTAAACCAAATATTTGCTGCCACCACCACCACCACCATCACCACCATCACCACCATCACCACCACCATCATCACCACCATCACCACCTTCACTACATCCACTCACTTAAACTCTAAAATACTGCGTAAACATACTACATAACTGTTGACTGTTGTTATTGTTGTTGTTGGCATATTACAAGTAGATTTTCACACAGACATGACAAGCAATCAGCTTTTATCGAGTGGACCTTCACCAACTGGAATTGATTGTTTATTATCAGATTACTGTCTACCAGCTGCACCATCGCCAAGCTTGACAGCACTGCCACCATTAAGTGGCGGTTCCGTTGATGACATGAACATTTCCAATTTTCACGCTCCGCCTCCTCCGCCGCCACACAGCACTACCAATATACTGACGGGTCGTAACAAAGCTACACCTATGCAAATACGCTGCAAATTTGGTGCTTTGGGTACATCTAGGGGACATTTCAATTCGCCGCACGGTTTCTGCTTGGGTGTCAACGAAGAGATTATCGTAGCCGATACCAACAATCATCGCATCGAGGTATTCGATAAGTGTGGCAATTTGAGTTTTTACTTTGGAGTACCGGGTAAAGAGGAAGGCCAATTATGGTATCCGCGCAAGGTAGCTGTCATGCACACCAATGGCAAATTTGTGGTTTGCGATCGCGGTAATGAACGTTCTCGTATGCAGATTTTCTCCAAGAATGGTCATTTTATGCGCAAAATAGCCATTAGGTGAGTGCGATTGATTGATGCATGCGTGCGTGCGTGCGTGCGTGCGTGCCTTGCTTTTTTATTGACAGCAATAATTACCTTTTCTTTTTTTTTTTTTTTTTTTGTTGATAGATATATTGATATTGTCGCTGGCTTAGCAGTTACATCGAAGGGACACATTGTCGCTGTGGACAGCGTTTCACCCACTGTATTTGTTATCTCTGAAGATGGTGAGCTAGTGCGTTGGTTTGATTGCAGCGACTATATGCGCGAACCATCAGATATTGCAATTAGAGGTTTGTATTAAAATTGAATTTTTCCGCCAATTTACGTTATCCTGTCTTTTATTACATTACTAATTAATCATATCCTTGTGATATTTTTTAGATAATGATTTCTACGTGTGCGACTTCAAGGGTCACTGTGTAGCAGTCTTCCATGAGGACGGCACTTTCCAGTATCGAATTGGCAATGAGAAAGTTACTTGCTTCCCTAACGGAATTGACATTTCAAATGCTGGGGATATACTCATCGGTGATTCTCATGGCAATCGCTTCCATGTTGCTTGTTATTCACGTGACGGGGTTCTACAATCTGAATTTGAATGTCCTCATGTCAAGGTAAGTGCAAAATTTTCCTATTTAGATCGTAACAAAGACGCAACTTGAAAGATGATATATATATATATATATAGTTCTTGAATAAAATGTATGTTAGCGAAATTTAAATTTCGCTAACATTAATATATAATTTCACTATCATACTTTTGAAAGCTTTTCCTTTCGGCGGTCAATTCAATTCAATAGGAAATAAACCAAGCAAAATATAAATAAATTTAACAGCAATCATTTTCTGAAAGTATAGTAGTTCAGCCAAATATATATATTTTTATTGTAGAGTATTGTTTCTGGCTCAGCTACAACACTGATAGAAGATATATATCGAGCAAGAAACTAAGACTTTAGGCATTGTGTAGGAATGCATTGCTCTGTAGTGGCGGGATTTCAAGCGGCCATGCTAACTAAGCAAATACTAAGCGTGCACCCCATACGTCCTACACACAGAGTAGTAATTTATTTTATGCTTTGGAAAATCCTTCACCTTAGCAATAATCTTGATGAAGCATAAATGGGCTCTTTTCCTCACAAAATGTATTTGGGGTCAACGCAAGTTTTCATGTTTGTATTGCTAAATTCAATTCGATACTACATACTAGAATTCTTGAAGTGAACGTGACGTGCACCAGTTGTTTACTTTCTCGTTATATAATAACTCGAACATGAATAACATTTTTTATGCACGTTCTTTGGCATAAAGTATACGATTCTAAGCTGTAGACGTGTTTTTCAAGAGTAAAGAAACGAGCATAATATGTCGAAAACAACATTATTTACCTTAAAAAAAGTTTACGTTTCATTCAAAGAAACAATTCATGATTATATATTGATGCAGAAAGGAGTGTAATTATTCGTCACCTTGACTTTGACTTCAGCTGTTGACATTGTTAAATATTAAAAATGTTTTTAAAAGCCGTCGCATAATCCGCGGATTTTTACATATGAAACTATATAAGGCTCGACAGTTTTTGAAAATCGAAACATTTTTTGGAACGCCACTGCTGCGGATAATAATTTTTCACCAAAAACATAAAATTAAATACGCACTGCATGATTGGAGTATGTTACTCCCTTTATATTTGAGAGGTCTGCACTATGTTAGGCTAGAAGAATGTTTAAATGAAATAATCATACTGTTGTTGTGCGGATAAATCCCCCCACGGCGATATCGTAAAATCCTGTCGTAATCAGCATATTGATCGATTGAGAGCTTTTAACTAAAAATCATCATAAATTTTTTTTTTTTTCAAAATTAATATGAAATGCATTTTGATATCAAGCGTTAGATCCCAATATTGGTCGATTTTCGTATTTTTATTCGTTGGTAATAAATATGAAGATTCTTTGTCACCAACGAGAAACGGCGGATTTATTACATACATTAGTTAATATAGGTATTAGATAAGTAAGTTATGTTAGAAACACATATTTCTTCAAAATCTAATGAATCGTATTTGTGAATAGGTATCACGTTGCTGTGGTTTAAAAATCACTTCGGAGGGCTATGTGGTCACTTTGGCCAAAAATAATCACCATGTACTTGTGCTCAATACGTTGTATGTTCAGTGATTTCAAGCAAATAAGTCGTTGCTAACAAATCAGAAAAGCGATGCATTAACAACATATTATGGTAAAACCACGACACCAATGTTAACAATAAACAAATATCACCTACAACAACCGAAGCAGCAGCAGCATCATCAACACCAATAAAGGAAATAAAAAACGCAAAAACTAATTGAATTCAATTGTGAAAGAAACCAAAAACAAGAAAAACAAGAAAAACAAAAAAAAAAAAAAGAAACAGTAACTAATTATTGCAGCGCAACCACAACAATTAGATAGAAAGAAAATTAAAGGCAATAATTTTTTTTTAAAATTATTTTTAAAAAGTAAAAAAAAAAAAAAAAAAAAAACAAATATTAAAACAAAAAAGTAATTATGTTAATTTTAATACAATAACAAATACAACAACGCCTCCAAAGAGAAACGACGAAATTTTTGAATTTACGCCGCCAAAAGCCAAAAATTATTTAAAAAAAAAAAAAAAAGTAAAAATTTTTTACACCTCTTACTCTACTACAACCATTTTAAACACTATTTTATTATTATATATTAGTTATAATTAAAACAAAAAACAAAAAAAAAAACAAAAACAAAACAAAAAAAAACAAAACAAAATTATTATATATTATACATCATTTTACACAATTTACAATTTACCATACGTAGTTAAAAAAGTAAAACAACAACAAAAAGCCGGTTTTTATTATTATTAATATTATCATTCTTCTTCTTATAATTATTATTACTATTACGACTATTATTATAATTATTATTCTTATATACACATGATGTCTAGCTTTTAGCCTTTTTGTGAAGAAATTTTTTTTTTCTTTTTTTTTATTATTGATTTTTTTTTTTTTTTAAATAAGAACAATTTTTAAATAATTTTTTTAATATTATTTGAAAATTGTTTGAAAAAATAACGCTTTTGATGATGATATTTTTTAATTATTACCGAAAACAAACGGAAAAGTAAAACAAGTTTGAGTAAATATTTTGATCTCTTTCTTCGATTTGAATTATTTTTTCTTTTCTCTTTCCCTTTTTCCTTTTTAATAACTAACTACGTCAGACAACAACAAAAAAATATATATAATTCATCATTATCTATAGTGGGTTTTTAGTATTTATTGTTTGTCCTTGAAGATTTTTGTTTTTCTTTTTTAATATACTGTGCGTTGTTTTTGCTTTTTGCAGTAGCAACAACAGCAGCAGGGGGCAGTATCTTGATTATGTTTTTTCTTATGAAATATTTCTTAAGTTATTTTTTTTTTATATGTTTATATGTTTTTTAAACCCAGTTGCAATGCTTTTACATTAAAACATTTACTACTATATATATACATATTAATATAAACACACAACATAAGTGATATTAAAAAAAAAAAAAAAAAAAAAAAAAAAAAAATACGGTTAAAGTATTAAAATGTATATCTTCTAGACAGGTAGAATGTACTAAAAAAAGGAAAAATTCTTTGTTTATTTTTATGTCTGGAACTTGAAAAAAAAAAAAATACAAACAGAAAATATTTTGCACAAAAGCTTTTTCGACATTTTTTTAAGCTTATGAACTAAAAATATTAATGAAATTTTAATTCGGTGATAATTAAAAGAAAAAAATATTTGAAAGTTCCTTTCGACTGAATAGCAGCATAGTAAAGAAAACTTTTTAAATTTAATTTTATTTGTGTTCTTTAGTACATTTTTCTTTTAGAAGTATACAATTTTAGTACTAGTCAGTCATAAAAGCCAACTTTTACAACAAAAACATTGTTTTTTTTTTTACTGTGAATATTGTTGTTTATTAAAAATATTTTAAAGATTTTTTTTTTTTTTTGTTAATAGTAATTTTCCTTATTTTTTAGAACTTGAAACAAATTTTCTTTTTTTAAATAATTAACCAAAACACTATTATACACTATATATTATATACAAATGCGAATGAACACCACTGTTACAATATTACTAAAAAAATTACAACAACTATGAAAAAAAATGGTACATTATTTTAATTTTTAATTCTTATCATTATTATTATTATTATTATACTCTGTTTAGACAATATATTTGTATATGTATATATGTATGTATATATATATATATATATGTTATATATATATATATATATATATATACATGTTTAATATATAGATATATATATATATAGATATATATATATATAGATATATATAGATATATAGATTCTTCTAATAACAATTCCCTTACAAATAATATAAAATACAATGTTTCCCACGTTAATTTTTTTTCATACATAAGGCTGGTTTTCCAAGACATTATTTTATTTACTCGTTATTTTTTTATACATGCATATTATATTAATAATTACAATTGTTAACTTTTTCTTTTTATAAATATAGTCATTAATTTTACTTTTTAAAAAATACTTTTAATGCAAACAAAAAAGAAAAAGAAATTGAACTCAACTACACAAAAGCAAAACAAATATTTGTTATATAATATAACACATTTTATTTTTAATTTACTTTGTTTTTAAATTAATTATCTTATTAATTTTAGTTTAGTAATATCAGTTTTTTTTTATTTTTTTTTTTTTTATTATTTATTTTTCTCTTAAATCGAACATGTGTGTTTCAAATATTTTCTTGTCATTTTATGAAAAAAAAAAAACAAAACGAAACAAAATAAAAATGTATTTATTCATTATTAATATAAATAATAACATTTTGTTTTTAATAATAATATTTTTATTTATATTAATTTTATTGTTTTCTTCATTTTAAATATACAAACCTAAAAGAAATTTACAAAAAAAAATGTTTTAAATAAATAAATTTAAAAAAAAAAAAAATGCAATTTATAATATACATATGTGTAAATGCATATATTGCCTTTAAAAGAAGAGAAAAACGAAAACCGATTATAGTGAGAATTCATTGTTAGTCTGAGGCTGTAGTTTCTAATTTATTTTAAGGAAACAAAAATTTTTTTTAAATTATTTTGCATTCATTCTTACAAAAATGATAACGCGAAGACCTACTATTTTCAAACTATTTAGTGAGTACTTCTCGTTTGTAAGTCTTGAAAAACAAAAACGACATTAAATATATAATATCATAACTTTTTTTATAATCCTTTTTATTCTTATTTTATTTATTTTTTTTTTAATTATAAAACGCAATTTTTTTTGTTTGAATCTATTACTGTTTGTTACTTTTACGTAATGTTTGGCTGTTTATGTATTTCTATATTTTAATTAATTTGTTTTTAAGATATTAACTTTAGTGTTTCCAGTTGTAATATATATATATAATTTTTTTTTTTTTAATCATGCCTTGTAATATTTTTTTTTTTTTTTGTCACCGCTGAAAGAAAAGAAGTAAGAAATTAAATATGTTACGTTCTATTTATGTTATTCATAATACCTTCCAATATCGAAGTGTATACCAAATACATAATAATTATATGCATCCGTTCAATCCATATACGAGTCAGAGGACTTTAATCACGGGACCATTTCAACGATTTGAACACGTAAGCATTGCGATCGCGGACGCGTAGGGTAGTAACGCTGTTGGGCGTGCATAATACAAAATTTCTTGATCTTGGTATATATACGTTACATTTAACCAGAATCTCAGCGTTACTATTTATCTATTCTCTCAAATTTTACGTTATGTTACGCACGTGTAAAAAGTGGTAGATATTTATAATTTGTCTTCAAACTTATATAATTGAACATTGCCATTATAATTAAGTTTTTGATTAAAAAAAAAAAAAAAAACGTAGTTTTCCCATTTCCAGACTCAAAGATGAAAGATTTTAATTTCTGGAAGATTGTTAGATGCGACATTAGCGTGCAACATGTAAAATAAGTGCAAGATTCTTTTTACTATCGCAGGGCCATTTCTCGCCCTGAAAGTTTAACTGTAATTCAAATTAACCATATCGTTCATCTGTCTACCTGTCAAAGTTGAATTTTGCTACCTCTGAATATATTTTTCGATTGGTTCGTGATAAGATGGGAAAAACCTATGTAACATTATGATCGATATTCTGCTGGATTTGATCGGAAAAAGTGCAAGTAATTTAACCAGAAATGATTCTTATAAGC